TTAGAGATTGACACAAACGATGCACTTGAATCGAGATATAGAGGAGCAGAATATTTTATGCTTGGATTATATGAGAATGCTTTGAAAGATTTTAATAAATCTTTGGATTATGAACCAAATAATGCATTAACATTAAGATTAACAGCAGAGACCTACTGCATGCTTGATAAACATAGTCATGCACTAAGCTATCTCAATAAAGTTTTGGATATTGAACCAGAAGATGCAATGGCATTAAGAACAAGAGGGGAAGTCTACCTTAATATTAGCCTTAAACAATATGATAATGCATTAATTGATCTCAATAAAGCTTTGGATGTTGAGCAAGAAAATGTAATTGCAAGAGGAAAAGCCTATCTCAACTTTAAACAGTATGATAATGCATTAAGGGATCTTGATAAAGCTTTGAACATTGAGCCAAAAGATGCAATTGCATTGAGAATAAGAGGGGAAGTCTATCTCAACCTTAAACAGTATGATAATGCATTAAGTGATCTCAATAAAGCTTTGAACATTGAGCCAAAAGATGCAATTGCATTGAGAATAAGAGGGGAAGTCTATCTCAACCTTAAACAATACAATTATGCATTAAGTGATCTTGATAGAGTTTTGTACATCAAATCAGAAGATGCAATTGCATCTAGAGCAAGAGGGGAAGTCTATCTCAACATTAAAAAGTATGATAATGCATTAACTGATCTCAATAAAGCTTTGGACATTAAACCAGAAGATGCAATTGCATTAAGAATAAGAGGGGAAATCTATCTCAACCTTAAACAATACAATGATGCATTAAGTGATCTTGATAAATATTTAGACATCAGACCAAAAGATGCAATTGCATTAAGAATAAGAGGGAAAGTCTATTTCAATGTTAAACAGTGGTATAAAGGATTAAGTGATTTTGGTAAATCCTTAGGCATTGAACTAAGTACTAAGATGCATAAAAGGTAAGAACAGAATAAGAAGCCTATTACTATTACTATTACTATAATAAACTTGATAATTTAATTGATAGTTGATGAAACAGTAGAAGATATAGGATGTAACTGCTAGTACATTTCTTGTCAGTAGTAGGAACTGTAAACAGCCGATTCACTGTTTACCACAAGCAAACTGCAACACATAAAGTTTGACATTGTTTACTCTGTGATGACGGAAGCCGATGACCAACATTAAACATTTCCAAGGATCGACATCGGTGGCTAATTAAAATAATAATAGATTTGATAATGATGCTAAAAATAGAACAATTAGTAGCTCGAAAGACATATAGACATCGTAGAAATGACTTAACATCGGTGTGTTCGCCAATTCAAACCTTTATATCGAAGACGTTCGATTCCCTTATTATTATATTTTATTCCTTATCTTATCAATAAACGAGTATCCATTTACTCTGATATATTAATTCTTTCCCGAATAATCCGTTATATTCTGTAAAACATTAATCCGTATAACGGAAAGATCGGTCATAATACTTGTCTCGTGATCGATTGAGTGGCATTACGATAATTAATTATTACATTCTCTACGCGTAATATTCTTATAGAAACGACTACCGACGTAATCCTTCGGTAGAGAATAGTGACTATTTTTCTCGAGAATAGTTAGTTATTTAGGATTAGTGTGTGCGAATCCGTATACGATACGTCAGCACGTATAAGCTTAATTAAGGTCACTAACTGTTTGTTACGTTTTAGCTATCGTTGAGGTGAGCCACGCTCCTAGTTAGATTTCAAACCGAGACAGTAGTTATCCGCTCTCCCTTGAATATTGCCTCGACAACTCACATATCTATTATTTTGCTGAACAAAAACTTTAGTATACAATGTCAGCTGCTGAAAAAAAAAATAACCATCACATTCTATTAACAACAATATCTGCACAACAAAGCTTTACATACTAGAACAAACATTCCTTTGATTACAATTTATGAAAACTAAAAGACCAGAGTACTGGGCCAATTTATATGCAGGGACTCTTCACTTTCAACAAGAACTCTTGCCAATAAACTCATATGTGCAAACATCCAAGTATACGAAATTCGAGTATCATATCGCTCAGACGTCATTGTAGTTTAAACATTTTATATCATCCAATTATTAATCGTGTTGTAAACGTAAATATATAAATGCGGGAGCGTGTGGGAGATGCATTAAAACTCCAAGTTCCAAATACAAATCGCTTAATGCTGAATATAACCATAGTTATGTAATCGAAGCTACCAATAATAATAAGGCGAAAAGCCCTTCCGTGAACGATACAATGTAATATAATAATAATAATAATAACGATAACAAATGTTACGGTTTTACGATCGATCATGTGATATATAGATCTTCCACGTGATAATTATAATCAAATAATTTTGGAGATCAGAAAGAATCTCAACAAAAAGAAACTATCATGTCTGCAATACTCGAAAAAATAGCAAAAGTTGCCATTCCTATTGGTGCTGGCATCAGTTTGTTTCAATACAGCATTTATGACGGTAAGGTAGCCTTCGCACATGCCTGGCATGTCTCATTCCACACAAAAATCTGAAAAATGTCAAATAATCACATCATATATCCATTCTAACTTTCGGCTTTTTTTTTCTTTTAAAAAAAAACTTGCTCTGTTCTCGCTCCATTAACACAGTCCAAGGTGGCCATCGCGCAGTAATCTTTGATCGTTTAAAGGGTGTAAAACCCAATCCCGTTGGAGAAGGCACACACTTCCTTGTTCCTTGGCTGCAACGCGCCGTGATTTTTGACATTCGCACAAAGCCACGTAACATTTCTACTACGACCGGATCAAAGGACATGCAGATGGTCAGTTTAACACTACGTGTCTTGCATCGCCCGAACGTTGGTCTATTGCCCTCGATCTATCAAACCCTTGGCATGGATTATGATGAGAGAGTGTTGCCTAGTATCGGAAATGAGGTGCTGAAGAGTGTGGTAGCGCAATTTGATGCCGGAGAGCTAATCACTCAGAGAGAAGTTGTAAGTATTCTTGGGTCTGAGTCGGAGCATTACCGCGAAAATAGAGCTTTGAAAGAGAATAAGAATCTTACTTGGTTGAGGAACTCATTTTGACGGCTTATGTTAGGTCTCATCAAGAATACGCGAAGATTTAGTAAAGCGTGCTCGTGAATTTAGGATTGAATTGGAGGACGTTTCGATTGTAAGTATACTGAATTACTTATTCAGCAGCCGAGCCAGTTTATATGAAACTTAATTCCTGCCTGTCACAACTGCCAATACAGACGCACATGACATTTGGAAAAGAATTCACAAATGCCGTTGAACAAAAACAAATAGCTCAGCAGGAAGCAGAGAGAGCCAGGTTTATCGTCGAAAAGGTTGATATAAACTGTAACGACGTTTTTATTACCGTTCGTAATGTCGATCTAATAAGACCTTTTTTTAACAGGCCGAACAAGAGAAACAAGCAGCAATTATTCGAGCCGAAGGTGAAGCTGAAGCAGCAGATAGAATTTCTCGAGCACTCGATAAAGCTGGGGAAGGTCTTGTGCTTCTTCGTAGGATCGAGGCATCAAGAGAAATTGCTGGAACGCTGGCTGGATCAAAGAATGTTGCTTACTTGCCGGCAAGTCAGGGTGGATCGGGCCTTTTGCTCAATGTTGGAGTGTAGAAAATTAATAGATGAAATTGGTACGTTGAGGTTCAAAATGAAGTCATTATGGTTAATTTCTTGGCTACGATATTGCAGATATGTTTTATGCCTGACGTTGTTTAAACAAATAAACATTTGGACCATCTAAACAAGTCATTCATATGTAAAACTCACTTTACGTTCATTTTACCGTGTTGAAATTACACTTTTGACAATAAATATTAATGTTCATCTAATATTTTTTCCATAACCTTTTAAACTCAACTTTATCGGCTATTAGCTATGTTGTTAAGCAATGCCACCAAACAGGTCATCGCTTGTTAATATTAATGTGACAAGTAAACTAGCACTCTCCCATGATGAATTTGTGCCCTACATTACCCTGACCTACAACACTCGATAAAGACTGGCCCTTAGGTTAAAGAAACTTCGCATTATTTGTCTAAATCATTTGAATTTACAGTCTTTTGTCTAATTACAATGTCTCTTTAAGGAAATCTAAATGTAAATTGGAAATTTCCATCGTCACCGGAACTAAAAGGAAATCCAGAAAACTTGGCACCGCCAAATTGCATAAACGGACTTCCAGATGAATAGAACGGACCTCCGGAAGAACCACCTGGATCATTGGGATCATCACCATTGTCATAACGTTCTCGTAATTCTAGTAATAATAAAAACAAAATGTAAACTGGTGTTCAAAAGATCAACTGTCGATATAATCAAACAACCGCAATTATTAAATCTTACCATCATTTGATAAGACTTCATACGCTTCATTAATGGCACTCATTTTTGTTGCAACCTCATCTTGTGATAAATCTCCTTTGTATTTATCGGGATGCCATTCTTGTGCCAACTTCCTAAACGCTTTCTTAATTTCCTTTTTAGTAGCCAACCTAGATACTCCAAGTATCTTATAATAATCCTTCTTCTTTGCGTTCTGACGCAATTTGTTGGCACGTTGAAAACCTTGAGCAGCACGTTGGTCAGTTCCACCCGAGGCGTCAAATGCTTTACTAAAGTCGGCACTCGCAGAGTCAAAGTCATCATTTAGTATGTAAGCTTCGGCACGACTTAAAAGCGCCTCCACGTCATCTTCGGATAGTTTCAAAGTCGAAGTACACCATTTGATGGCAAGGTCAGCTTGTTTGAGCTACACACGAAAACAAAAAAGTTTTGAGTGTCGTTGTATAAAAGTAATATGAGGAGATATAACATTGGTTCTAAAAATCATTCACAACTAACCTCGGCGTATGCTATACACATATGCCTGTATAATTTGGCCACCAACACCTTGCCGCTTTTCGCTTCGGGTATTGATTTTGCTTCTTCTTCAATCTGACTCAAAAATCCCTGGTTACCGTTCTTCCCCTTTATCTTATTTATAGCTGCTTGCCACCTGTGGCCGGTTATATCATTGTTAATCATTTCCAAGTCTTTTTCCAATTTTTTCATCGTTTTGTGCAGATTTCTACACACTTTATTATCGGGGTCGCTTTGCAAACACTGCTTTATAAATGCTTTGGATTCAGTCGGATTGTAGAGAACAAAATAATTCAGCTTGGCCAAGCGGACAAGCAAGGAGAGATCTGAAGGATTTAATGCTGACGCTTGGCTAAGAGAAAAAGTAGAATTAGTGTTTAATAAAGAGAGGTGAAATAAAAGAAAGGATAAAATTCAATGAATGGAATGTGAGATATATATACCTGAGATCTCTGATACCGTCTTCGATTTCATGTTTCGCCAAGTGACAGTTGGCACGAATTAGTCTCAGTTGAAACGATTGTGGACATATTTTTACGGCAACAGTCGCATGTGTTATGCAATCATCATATTTCTTTGCTGCTAATTCAGTCTCGGCAGAACTTATTGCTTTCTCTGCTTCGCCTATATCTATTAGCTGCAGGTTACAATGTTAAGGTAAATAGTTGTTACATGATTATGACTTGTCGAATTGATCCAAGAAAAAATAGATACCAGTTTCTTTGCTTCAGCATCGTTTGCATTCTTCGTTAAGTATTCTTTCAAATCACGTCGTGCCTCTTTCAAGGAACCTTCTTTAATGTATATCTTGGCACGGTGCAATCGAGCCTGTAATATTTATGAATTAAGCGAATAAACAAATGTTTTTGCTACATTCAATAGGCATGCTAGACGAGGAATGCGTACCTGATCAAAATCTGGCTTCAATTCCAGTATTTTTGTGAAATCCTCAAGTGCTGCGACACTTCTGCTGAGAGATAAATACGTAACCGCACGTCCAAAGTAGGAAAGGTAATTTTGAGGATCCTTGGCTGTGTTGATTTAAAAGAAAGTGGGTTAGTGGTCCAAGGTTGGAATCAGCAATGGGCATTAACAATACGTACATATGGCAACATTGTAACTTTCTAGAGCTTCTTTATAAGCGCCCTCGCGACGGAAGTTGCTCGCTTCATCCAAGTATTGTTGTGTTGTATCTCCAAGAATCGTAGGAAGGCCGGGTAAAACAACCGCAATAAGAGTAAAAGCTAGTTTTCGTACTTTCATTTTTTTTTTTCGTATGTGAAGTTGTCTTTTCGTGTGTGTGTTTTTGCGTGTCAGCCCTTGCTCCAGTTTCTTTTTTTATAGATGACTCGTTTGAATTGAATAATGTGTTAGTTTTTGATTGGCGGACGCAAACCAGCATACTGTACGTTACACACTTCTCATCCCAACACATTTTGGGTTACTTTAAAGTTGATATTGGTTTGTCGATTTCTAATGACCTATTACTATTGTATGAAGACACATTTTTATGAGAAACTCGTATCATCACATCTTTCGTATTAATGAGATGTAGAATACTATCCAAGAGTGAGCCGAGTTTTCTACCCAACTTTTATCTACATACAACATACAATATATTGATATGTTGCATGCCTTTATATGGTAATGGAAGCACCTTACTTTCCCCCTTACTTGTCTTCAGCCTTTGATATGCCTAATAATGAGACGCAGAAGAGCGTATCATATTATTCAACGTTATGGAAGCTAATTTGACATGCTGTGCTTCTAACTTTAGTAGTTGCACACAAACGTTTTTTGCGTAATCTCATCATTGGCCACATACTGCGGGACAGGCCAATTTGGGAAATAAATGCTAACAAAATGTGGTTGAAAATTCATTATTACGAACCATATAAGTTCAGTGCAAAGGGTTGAGGAGAGGAAATCACGAGGAAATTATGAGCAGCAAGAGTAGAATTGCTAAATCAACAGTAGAGAAGCTGAAAGCATACATTGGAAAGCGTATCACGCCAACATGGTGTCGATACATATGGCTGACGTATAAAATAACTCTGATCTTCCTTACAATTGTGAACGTTGCAGACTGACGAATCCCATATCGACACACGACAATTGTGAATGTTGCAAACTGACGAATACCATATCGACACACGACGTAGAAACAGTGAACATTGTTCACTGCGCTACCGCCCTATACGCCATGCATACTCTGTGTGACAGTCTGAAGATGGCGTACACTTTAACCAGTATCATATGTTCATTTGTAACCAATCCAAAATTCTGCGCCGACGTGGATTGATCTGGTTCATCATACTAATATGCAAACCATGTTCACACACACGCCAATATGCATACCTACGGATAAGTTCTTACCTCTCCTCGAGACGTGGAAGCACTTTCACATCAGTGTAATAGATTATCATATATCGTTTGCAGATATAGGTCATACATACGTTCGTGTCGTCATTGTCACCTATCGAACGATCGATCTATCGTCAATGACGATTAAAGCATAACACCTCGAACAGTTGATTTTAATGCACGTCGTAATTCATGTCCAAAGATTAGCCGTAGCTGTAGAAATTAGCATAAGTATAACTTTAACAAAATAAAGAAATGGTTTTTATTTGAACTTTGAATCTGGGTCAAGCAAATATATGCCAAAAAATGAAGAGAACAAATTGTTTGTTGCGTCAAATCTCACATAGTATATATTATTTGAAAGTTTGCAGTTTTTATTTACGAATCATTAATAAGATATCCCGTTCACCGTTATTTCTATCACTGACTCACACTTCCCCTTCATAGAATTAATTAGAGTGTCTCTGGGAATCGAATTTCAATTCTTCTGTCATAAAACGCTCCAATTGATCGAATTTTTGGGCATACGTTTTTCAACATTTATTTTGGCAATAGCCCAGAGATTTTCAATCTGCACTATTAGACAGCCAGTCTATAATAATAATTTGGGGAACCTTCTCAAGAAATGCCTGGCGAGCCGACTAATGTGCTTGTAGTCATTATCTTGTTGGAAATGCCAAATTCTTTCTTAACTTCAGGAAAGCGTTTCTCATAACTTGAACGTAAAATGAGGCGTCTATTTTTTGGGTAAAACAATATAAGCTTGTCTTCCCTCGACTGCCGAAATCTGCCCTAAATTCCTCCTATCCTTCGCATAGGGTGTATGGGCCTTTTTCCCTTTACCAACGTCAATGGCAGTTCTAACCAATTAGAAGACAGTTTTGTCAGTAAATAATGTATTCTTTCAATTGTCGTTAAGTGCTATCTTGCCCATTCAACCTTCTCCTTTCGTGCTGATATCAGCATCAGCGTGCAATCGGTAAAGCCTTTTTATAGTTGTGTTCCTTTCATGTCTACTGACAGTTGTAGTAGAGACATCTATACCGTTTGGTGTCAATCTGTTTGTAATTGTATTGAGGGATAAGGAAGAATTCTTTCGGACATACTGACTTATGCCTCTGCTGTTATTTTCTTGCGTCGCCCATTCCCTTTCCGTGGTCAGCATTTTCTTTATTACGTAATTTATTAAGATTGTAAAAGACCGTCCTGTTTATCTTCGTCAAAGCATTAGTTCGATTACCGTTTCTAATGTCTTGGGTTCCTATAATATGACGTTAGTTTCTTTCTCCAGCAGCGGAGAAAAGATAACAGGCAGAGCAAAATGAAATTATTTATGCCTTCGATGCAGTATCAGTTGCATTTTACGCGACGTAAATTGCGCAAGTTACACATGTACATTTGACTCTGATTTTTTTGCAAACCCCGAGTATGTCAGCGAGGCGGCTGCGTCCCCTCACCGCGGCATGCTTAATGATGAGGCCACCAACTTTATTACGCTATTAAATATCTATTCCCGATTATTTCTCTAAGACTGAAAATAGCTACTACTTATCTTTAGAGAATAATACTTCTTCTTTTATATGAATGGTTTTACGTTGATTGTTACTCGTGTTTCGTAGTACACTTGCCGCTGACTTGCAGTGGATTCACGTCCCGAACATGTAAATATATTCTCCATCGTCCTTTCTTTACTATTCGTAACTAGCGTTGGGCAAAAGTGCGCGAACTTTAGCAACTTTCCCGGGTGATTATAATTACCTAATAGGCTGTTCATGATGAATCGGCCACTGTTGAGTAGCAGTTTTTTACGGCATGATGGCCCTTAGTATTAGGGACAAATAATGTTAACGGGCATCAGTGAGTGGTGCCCTGCATACCATTAAAACCAACGATGAATGGGCGAGTTGGGCACAATAGATCTTGTCGATCGCAACAACTCCTTCAGTCGAGATGCTTACACACCCGCCTGACAGTGTTCGCGGATAGCATTACATCGTCGATTTCTGATTTATAATATGCAGTTGATTATTGTGAATTTTCGCTTGTGAGAGCAAATGATAAACAACTGTTAAAGCACTGATTGACCCTAAATCCCAGTACGGTAGTATCAGTAAAGCTCTTGCCCAAAAAATGGATATATATATTTTAGAGAGTATGGATCTAAATATCCCGCAGTAAAAGATCTTGGTATCGGCGGCGGCGCAACAAATGCCGGCAAGAAAATAATGAGGAGGGGTTGGATTGATAGAGAAAAAGTTTCTGTCACTTTGCCAAATATTTTTGAATCGGGAAAATTAAAA